GAGAAAAGATAAGAAGGAAAAATATTATAGACGTCATTTCCTTAGCCTAAAAAACACAGTTAAACTGGACCATATTGTTTTTTGGCCTAAAAACTAAAATTACAATGTTATTTTCCCATAGCACAGACTGCATGTAAATGTATGTACATTTTGGTTGACGTGAACTGGGAAAGGTGAAAGAAGATTATAGGGGAGGTGCTCATTTTTTGGCTAAATTTTAGCTGACGTCTTTTGTGAAGGGTTCCTTACAATGTTTCTTTCTCGATCCTGCTGATGTGTATTTGTGTCTGCCTGTGTAGGCGCCTACTTGGGTGACCTTACCCTTGTTGAAGATTGATATTAGAAGTTGTTGAGGAATGTTTGTGGGCTTGTGCTCCTTGGCGAGGTGCCCAAAAGTGTCATGCATCGTGTGAAAGCGCAAGATTATGGCGTAGCTAGCTAGAAGTTTGTGTCGAAACAGGGAGAAGTAGGCAGGGGTTTGTGATAGGAGTTATGTAAATGATATCTTCTTCTTGTTTTTGTTATCGATCAAGGTAAATAACCTCTTAGATCAGATGTAATAATGGTTAAGTGAGAGAGATCCATTGCTGTGGATAGGTGGTATTGAACAAACCACGGCTTTAAAGGAACAAAAGGCGTTGGCACATCCAATTAATGTCAATGTCTGTGTATTGTTATTTTGTATCATATGTCAGTAAGATGTTCATAGCATAAACCAAAAGCAGTTGCGCTAAAGAAAAGGAATATTGATAGTGTGTGTTGTAGCTGTTGATGAAAGTAAAGGAATAGTATGAAAAGTATGATGATACTGCTTACTCTACAGTTACTACTTATGAATAATAAAAAGCATTTATGCTTCGCATTACCATTTTCTAAGAAATGCTCAATGGGCATTATATTACTACAAGTATAATTATTATTATTTTTACACCAAAGCTTTCAGTGGATAGTGGATATACACTTGGTGTGCCATATAGGTTCATGAATGCTTTTTATTTGTGTTTATGTTTCATGATTTTAAAAAATGATTCATGGGATTTATTTTCAAAAGGGTATTCTCTTACTTCCTTGATTGTGATTCCTACAAAAAAATTATATTTTCCCTGTATGGTAGATAGACACAACTGAATAACAAGGTAGAAATCATAATGTTTGGTACTGCATTTAAATATTTTAAAGTCGTGTATTCATGTTTAAAGTTTCTTTAAATAAAATAAAGCAGGCTTTTTTTTCCATCGTCGAAAGTTTATCTTTTTCAGAAATTTCCCGAGGTGAGATTCTGTCAGGAAAATTACATCAGTAAATGAAATTTTATATTTATAACAAAAATATTGAATTCTGTTTGAAAAAAAATCTTGTTTTGCGAATAAATGCTTACTTATGAGAGGTAAGTGATCAAGACTGATGGTGTGAGTCCTGGTCTTTGTTGTGTATCTAATCACAGCCACTGTTTTTTTTTTTGTTTTTTTTTTTGGTAAGTGTTTTGCTGCATAAGGTCATATAAGTGCGCGGGGCACATTAAACTTTTTCAAATGGTAGGCAATTTTGAATGTTGCGAGGGCGGCGGCCGAAGCTTACTCTTAATGATTTTAGACCACCAAGAGATCTTTAATGTGCGCAACTTCATACGGACCGTCGGATATTTTTGGCCCTTGTCCGAGAAAGCTTGATGTAGAACTTTCCTACCAGAAGATCAGGGGTGTGGCTGAAAGACAGCAGTAAGAAGGAGCCAAGGAGTAGCAGTAGAAATGCTGCAGAAAGAGTTAGGAGCCCAGAGGAGGGGGCAAAGGAGGTGAGGGGGTGGTGGCAAAGATAGAACATTGCTAGAGAGCAGGAAAGGATATGAAAGGAGACAATTTTAGAGAAGAAAATTTGTCGGTTGCTATCCGGATTCAAACCCGGGACCTTTGAATGAGAGGCCAACACCTTAACCTCTAGGCCACGTGAGCCCCCAACAGCCATTGTAATACAGAGAACGTTAGATAAAGAAAGCTGAATTTTCTTACAGTACTTTAGATGTGACTGAGAAATCGTCAATGTTGCATTCACAAATTAATTGTCTTTTTTTTCTTTCAGTAAATTTTATTAAGCTCCCATCAACTCAATTTTCATTGTTTTGTTGTAGAGCTGGCTGTTTATTTAGACCCTGCCTGTGTGGGTGAACCTAGCATTTGTAGGATTCATTCTAGCAGAAATGCGGAATTACTCGATAGATATCTACCCTATGAGAGCATCAAAGTTTGGACAGTTATACATGTATATGTGAGATGTACGTGAGATGCAGAGCTAAGCCATGACACCTCAGACTCTGGGAAGTTGCAGCTTGTTCCAACATAAATTAAAACTACTTTTACGAAGTCTGTCTTGACGCCTGATATCACACCTTTTCTATTTGTAACTGTCTAATTAGATGTGGGTGGTTGGCGGGTACTCTGGTGTGGTTTGCTCCTTCTTTTATGAAACATCTATCGTCCTTATCTCCCCTTCTTCTTTTTTGCTCTGTTAAAATTAAACTTTCTACTAGTACTAAATTTTATTAGTACTATGCAGACAATTATATGCGGGTGGTTGGCGGGTTTCTGGTGTGGTTTGCTCCTTCCCTATCAAACGTCTATTATCCTTATCTCCCCTTTTTCTTTTCTAATGTTTGTTACTCTCTTGTAACACCTCTTATCTTCTGGTGCTCTTATATGACTGTATGCAGTTGCGAGCGCCGCAAAACCTCTTCTAAAACTAAACTGAAGCAGCCCATCTCCTAAATAATCTCCATTGTATCAATGGGGGTATGAAACATTAAACAATTAATTTATTTCAGACAATTTGTACATAGGGCTTGCATTTGAAAATTCTTTTGAAATTCCAAGTACTACTCACTACTTTAGTGCAGAGAGAGGAATGGTACTGTTGCATTGAGTAATGAGTACAACAAATCTCTCCAACTGTTGTCTGTTTTTATTCACCCATAATTTGTCTTAACGTAGTCCTGCCTCTGGTCAATCATACCCTTTTCCTCCACCTGCATGGGAAGTTGTAGGTGTCAACTACCTTTGGCCATGTATGGTTTGTTAAAAATAGTGAAAGTGGATGGTTGGCGGGTGCTCTGGTGTGTTTTGCTCCTTCTTTCCTTTCAAACATCTATTGTCTTTATCTCCTCTTCTTTTTTGTGTTTATTACTCTCTTGTAACACGCTCTAATCTTCATCAGTTATATGACCATATTGTGTTGCAAGTGAAGTAAATTTCTTACTAACAGAAAAAAAACCCCGGACGGTGCCACTGACTGAAGTGTCTTTAGGCCATTCCCAAAGGGGAGATATTTCTCGTTCATGCACAGTAGAATTGTAAATAGGCTGATTCATCAATGTCACGCTCATAACTGTGCCTGAACTGCAACAGGGAACTGCTGCTCTTCCTTTCCTAATCCTTGCTATTGTCATTTTTCCTCTACTTCTTTTGTATGTTTGTCACACTCTTGTGACCAGCTATTTCCGGGGTGCCTTGATAGTCGAGGCAGACTTTGTGCTGTTGAAGCTAGAGAGGTGAGCAGAGTAAGTCTGATTCCCTGTAAAGACTTCTCTGTTGACACCCACCCCTTGGCGCTCACATGACCTTATGCAGTTGCGAGCGCCGTAAACCCCTCTACTAAAACTAAACTAAAGAAAAAAATCCAAAAAATAGCAGCTCAAACAATAATTCATACATAAATCCATACTATCACAAACTTTTTTTTTCTGAAGAGAACTAGACAAAGTTCAAGCTTGAACAAGAAGAACATTCGAAGATTTTTTGTTTTTGCTGAGAATTTTCTCAGAGCCTCACATGAAATCCTTCACAAGTTAATACATGGTGAAAACCAGAATAACTTGACACAGCGAATAATAATGTCTAATTTTTTTACCACGTACAACATTTTAGCTTCGGCCAGAGCAACCCAATAGTTGTACTGCCCTTGTACTTGTACAGAATCCTTTTATGGCACTACAAGTAGTACAAGTCTGCTATGTGCTGGACAGATAAACAACTCCAAGAAACTAAAAATGTGTTAAAAATCTATAAAACCTGAATACATGTATACTGAAAGAAGTCCTCATAGAACGGAGGTCACGTCGTGCATCACAAACCAACCAACGCTCTGTACAGAGCTTTTGTGAAGCGTGTTGACAAAATGAGTTACTTCTCGAATTCAAGCCTAATGGAAATAGACACGTCACACGTATAGGTGAAGTTTTTACGATTTATTAGTATGAAATAATAAAAGGCATGTTATAGTTAAAGAATATGGCATCAACAGAAATTCTGCAACTTTGACACTATTGTCTATTTTTGGCCAATATCTCCACTTGTTGATTGTGAAAAGTAACTCATTTTGTCAGCACGCCCCGTATATCAATAGTTGAGCTGCCTTTTTTGTAGACGGCATATTACTTTTTTCCACCAAAAAGAACTACGCAATGTCGCCTAAAATGTCTAGTATTGATATGTAATGTAACATGTACAGAATGTTATAAGCTCTAATTTACACCTCTTGATGAGGAATATGAAAAAGCAGACACAGGGTTTTACAAAATTCATTTGACTCTTCCACTGGAAGGGTATGGGACATCAAAAAAAAGTTCTGTATCCATCAGGGTGATATTCCAGGAAATTTGTACAGTAACAAGCATTATTTTAAATATTGTAAAAACTCTCTTGTGAACAAACGTATGGCAACAAAGTGACAGTAGAAACATTAGCGTTAATCAAGAAATTTGACAATAATTAAACCCCTAGTCCCTAGGAATCTTCTCCTTCTTCTCGATCGCATCGTACTTTAAGTCCGATATCTGTCATATTTTGGGCCTCTAGGCTAGGAATGAAGTTAAAACTCCAGACGACCGTCCCCGAAAGGTCCAGAAAACTTCACTTCGTTCTCTCCCGCCTTGGCCTTGAAGACAAAGGGAGGGGCAGGGAGGCTGTTGACGGTGGAATAGACGGCACACTTCTTGAAGGTACACGGTGAAGTACGCCAGGCGTAGCGTACCCCCATGATCTTCTCATCGTTGCCACAGACGTCAGATTTCAATGTGATGCTCGTAGAGTTAGAAGCCACACTGGAGGTGACCACCCATTTCCCATAACTGCCGTCCTTCCGCTCACAGAAGAACTGGGGGTGAAATGAGAAATTGTCAGAAAATCAGGGAGATTATGTAAAATTATTGATTTACATAACAATAACACACACACATACATTGCAGCCTCTCTATAACCACATCGTCGTAGGGACCAGAAAAAAATATCGTTATAGAGAGTTGTCGTTATAGAGAAATTATTTATATAAAGAAAAAATCGGGACCTGGGCACCAGGTCGCTATACAGAGGATGTCGTAATATCGAAGGTCGTTATAGAGAGGCAGCACTGTATAAAAACAGACCTATATTAGGGGGAAGTGGGAAGTGGTCTGTTGAGCCTAAACCCATCACGCACGCACACACACACACACACACTCGCTCACACACACACACACACACACACACACACACACACACACACACACACCAGAAACAACAACAACAACAAAAGCCACCTTGACCTGTCATAGAATACCCAACAGCCTCTCATTTTCACCCAGAGAATTCCATAAATATAATTGTAGAATTCTGTGCTCTCACCTCAAATACGTCTTGACTGCGCACACCACACACACACACACACACACACATACACACACACACACACACACACACACACACACATACACACACACATAGGCCTACATACACATACACACACATACACACATACACACACAACCTCTCACCCTCACTCTCACCTCAAATACGTCCTGACTGCGCACGACAAGTTTCCAGGTAGAGCCGTAGTCCAGCACATAGCCGGAGGAAGATGGCGCGCCGGACCGAGGGAACGGGCCCTGATAGAAAGTTTTCTGGTTGTAAGCCACGGACAGTCCACTTAGGGCCAGGCGGGCGCCCACGTCTGCTTTGTCCTGTGGGTGTGTCCTGAACACAGAGAGAAAGCAAGGACGAATGGTAATTTTTTTCAGTTGAGGGAGAGACAAAAACAGCCCTGGACATGGATGGCTGGTGCCTCTATAAATAAATCATTGATGGTCAAGGAGAGACACAAATTTCTTGAATGTACAAGAATAACATTTTATTGTAGATCGTAACAAATACAGTGCAGCCTCTCTATAACGACATCGTCGGGACCAGAAAAAAGTGTCTTTATAGAGAGTTGTCGTATAGAAAAAATAAAAAATGGTGAAATGGTATGAGTTTAACGCCTCTATCAACACTTTTAGGTTATTTAAGAGGCGGGTGTCGTATAGAAAGGCACCCAAAAGTTACTAATGATGTATAAGGAAAACATGGGGACCTGGGTACCATGTCGCTATACAGAGGATGTCGTTATATCGAAGGTCGTTATTGAAAGGCTGCACTGTACATATTTGCCTTGACATGGTGACACACATAACACATATCAACACATCACCCCCCACCCCCCACACACAAACACTCGCACTCACCCACAAACTCACAGAAATTTACACAGGTGCAATTATACCTTGTGAAAGTAGGAGAGACATTAAGAAGCAATGGGTTGTGCTTTGTTTCATTCATTATACGGTGATTATTTGAAGGGTGGCAAAGAGAAGTAATAATGATTATTCATAAATCTTGATCTTAAACAGTTTCAAGAAAATTAAGGCTAATAAACCATCCCATTCCCTCCAAACACCCGGGAGCTTTTTGGCAGAGATAGTTGCATGTCTTGTTGATCTGTAAATATAGTGCAGCCTTTCTAGATCTATAACGGCCTTCGATATAACGACAATCTCTGTATAGCGACATGGTACCCAGGACCCGATGTTTTCCTTATACATCATTAGTAGCTTTTGGGTGCCTCTCTATAACGACAACTCTCCATAACGACATTTTTTTCTGGTCCCGATGATGTCATTATAGAGAGGCTGCACTGTAATAACAATTTGCAGATTAGAGAATTTACAGCCAAGTGAGATGTCCTTGCAGTATAAGCTACACTCACTAAATGGAGTTTGTTAATTAACCCTGTCCGTACGCCCTACTATGCAAAGCGTACGGATCGGATTAACGAGTACATTTCCTCTTTGGAAAGCGGTGGCACAGAGTTCACCACGTCGTATGGATACGATGGAAAAACACGGCGTACGGATAGGGTTAAGAGGTGTCACAGAGTTCCCCGTGTCGTATGGATACGATAGTAAAACACGACGCACGGATAGGGTTAAGAGGTGTCACAGAGTTCCCCACGTCGTATGGATACGATAGTAAAACACGACGCACGGATAGGGTTAAGAGGTGTCACAGAGTTCCCCACGTCGTATGGATACGATAGTAAAACACGATGTACGGATAGGGTTAAGTGGTGTCACAGAGTTCCCCACGTCGTATGGATACGATAGTAAAACACGACGTACGGATAGGGTTAAGTGGTGTCACAGAGTTCCCCGCGTCGTATGGATGCGATAGTAAAACACGACGTAGGGATAGGGTTAAGTGGTGTCACAGAGTTCCCCACGTCGTATGGATACGATAGTAAAACACAACGTACGGATAGGGTTAAGAGGTGTCACAGAGTTCCCCGTGTCGTATGGATACGATAGTAAAACACGACGTACGGATAGGGTTAAGAACTTACGGGCCGTAGGTAGAGTTAAACCCAGGCAGATCCAGAGTGACAGCCATGAACACGTTGGGCATCTTGGGGTTGGGCACGTAGCCGTAGTCAGCTGTCTGGTGCCAGCGGATGTCTGGGAAGCCCACAGTGATGTACGGAGGTTGTGGGGCGTTGGGCGCCAGCTGAAACAACGGAGGAAAAAAACCCACCCATACGCCTGTCACTAAAAGCATTTCATAAGAGATTTAGCAGCATTGTCATAACACAAAGTTCCGGTAGGCGATATCATATTCATAAGAAACTGCAATCAAGCCTGAGAATACGTGTGCATTTTCTTCTTTTTCCCTTTCTTTTCTATATTTCTTCTTTTCCTTTTTCTATTTCTTGTCATCATCACTATCATTCAACATCATGATCATAAAATTACATAAATTTACATTCATATGTCATGAAAGTCAAGGACTTCATTTAGAAGAGTTATAACGAACCCTAATTTTCTTTTTCTTTACTCATTCTTTTAGATTTATTTCTTCTTTTTCTCAAGTTATTATCAGACGTTCCTTTGTGGTCTAATAAATGTGAAGCAGTGTGACAAAATTAGTTGCTTGTCACTCTCAGCATTTTCCATATATTGGGCCAAACCACAATTTTCTCAACACTGCCTAACTCCCCTACTGTTAAGTAACTGTACGCTTCCCGAGAAGCCGAGAATGTTTTCTTAGGTCTGCTGGGGTAATAGTTTAGATTGTAAAGCACATAGAAATTTCTGCTGACTGGAAATATATGTGTGCAATACAAACGGTACATTTATTATTTACCTGTACTTTACTTTGGAACCAAAGCAACTAGATTATTACTGTTTTCACCCTCTAGTACTAGTTGAACAGATCTTTAATGCAAAACCGTAATGTTTTATTGTCTAATGGCTTTTGAAAGTGTGCCCTTCAGCCCAATGTTATATTGTCGGAATGAGACGAGTGACACATTTAGTCCAGTTGCTAGACACATCACCTGCACAAAGCCAAAGGGGAACAGAGGGTTGGTTTGTTGAGACACTTGACTGAACTTTTCGCGCCAGTCGGCGATCATGCCAGGGAAGGTGCAGTTGTAGATATTCATCTTGGTGCCACCGTCTGCATCAGTTTCACCTGAGGTACAGAATTTTAAAATTTATTTTTTATATTTTAAAAAATTATGGACGGTAATACATTAAAAAAAATTAGCAAGTGTTTTACGGCGCTCACAACTGCATAAGGCCCTATGAGCGCGCGGAAAACATTACACTTTTTCAGTTGGTAGGAAATTTTGAATTTTGTCCAGGTGGCGGCCGAAGCCAGCTCTTATACATTTTGGACAACCAAGGGATCTTTAGGTGCGCAACTTGCACTCGGGACCTCCGAGATTTTTGCCCTTGTCCGAGAAGGTTAGGTGAAGATCTATCCAACTAGAAGATCAGGGGTATGACTGAAAGACAGCAGTAAGAAGGAGCCAAGAAGTAGCAGTGAAGGCTGCAGAAAGTCAGTATCCCAGAGCAAGAGAGCAGGAAAGAAGGTGAGAGGAGACACTTTTAGAGAAGAAAAGTTTCCGTTGCTATCCGGATTTGAACCCGAGACCTATTGAATGGGAGGCGAACACCTTAACCTCTAGGCCACAGAGCCCCCGGTAATCCATCCACTAGTTGGGGCACTGGTTTCTCCGTCCCTCATCAGCTTCAGCGGTGTCCGTCCCGCCTACCAGTGGGCACAAGGCGGGAGGAAAAGTCGGGAACAGACACTACACTTTGATCTTAGCGAAAAGGCAGAGAAGTCTACAAAGAAGGTACAGAGTTATACATTTTTGTAACTGTTTCTGTTTTTTTTGGTTGGCGTGGTTGCTGTTAAAAAGACAAACCGCATGGTTACGATTTTCTAATGTTTCTCAGTTCCAAGGTTCACACAAATGTGTAATAATTCTCTGGCATGGCCTATCTTCTTAAAAAAAAATTCTTCTTCATCTTTTTCTGCTGCTACTGCTGCTTCTTCCCCCCTCCTCCTCTTCTTCGTTTTCTTCTTTTTCGGTGCCCCCCCCCCCCATGCTAGAGCTGGGGCTTTTGACTGAAGCATCTTAATCACACAAACAAGCTGATTTTGATCTACATGACTGTTTATCAGCCTAGAATGTAAATCTAGAATCATAATTATCTTGCTTGACAGCCAGCCATGTACCATTTTCGAAGGTACTTTTAACATTCATGCTATCTGCAGTGTGGCCTCAGTTTTGGGTTGGAATTAATTTTGAATTTTGGCCAAGGGCCTACACTTTTCAATTGTAGAATCGCCAACGGATCTTTATCGTTCACAACTTGAACACATGAACTCCAAAATTTCTCATCCTTATCCAAAAATACAAAGTGCTCGACCCTATCTACCTTAGGATCAAGGAATGTGACCCCCCCCCTTTTCCATATACAGTAATTATTTTACGGGATCCGCCCTCCTTCACACAGAAAGTTCTGAAAAATCCAGCCAATCCCAATTTGTCTTCATCATCATAAGGCACCAGTGGACTATTATAAACACAAAAAAAAGAAGTCTTCAGTAAACTCTGGTGTCCACCACAAACACAACAGACAAGGCTCTACAACAGACCCTGACCTTGGTACCAAATGGCGCCGCGCAAGGTCATCCCCAGGAGCGGGTAGATCATGGAGTTCCACAGGACGGAGTCGTCTCTCGGGACATAAAATGCCCGCGCTTGAGGAGGGGAGTTGGGGCTGTCTGACACAGGCAAACTGCTGGGTACAAACAGGTAGAAATAAGATCAAATCTACCAAAGAAACGCGATTGTTGTTGATGATGATGATGATAATAATAATAATAATAATAATAATAATAATAACAAAAATAATGATGATAATAATAATAATAAGAGATAGATAGATCGATAGATAGATAAATAGACAGATACATGTATATATATATATATATATATATATATATATATATATATATATATATATATATATATATATAAACTAGTCAAGCAAAAATTAAGGAACATTTGAGAAAAAGTGTATAACTTCGAAAACAAACTTCAACACGCAATGAAATTCGGTACACATTTTAATCAACATTTGTATAGCAGGTATCGAAAAAGAAAATTAAGTTATTCCATTTTAACTTGCTTGAAACGTTAATTGAGTTTGATAGGGGTTAAAATCCCAAATTCCAAAAATTGTCAAGCGGTTTCGAAGTTATTTTAACTTCTGACTGCAACAAAAACAAAACAGTTCAGATGATTTCAATAATGAGTATGCCCACCACAATTGTCCTGGCACTTAGTACACCGGCTCCTCATCGAGTTCATGAGGTTGGTGAATACTCTCTGAGGCGTCCCCTGCCACTCTGCCTACAGCATCTGAAACAGTTGCTGCGCGTCTCCTGGAGGGGTGTGGTTGTCTCTGACTCGACGTTGCAGCTCATCCCAGAGGTTTTCTATGGGATTCAAGTCCGGACTGCAGGCCGGCCAGTCCATTCGGTTGATGCCAGCCTGCTGCATGAAGTTTTGGACAAGCAACGCTCTATGAGGTCGGACGTTGTCATCCTGGTACACTGCATGTGGCACCATCTGCTGCAGAGTAGGTAGTGCTAATGGACGGAGTATCTCATCTCGGTAACGTATTGCAGTGAGATTCCCTTGCACTTGGTACAGAGGTGTTCTGTGGTTCAGTCTGAAAGCATCCCATACCATCACGGAACCACCTCCAAAAGGCATCACTTCTCTGACGGCTTCATCGAGGAGCCGCTCTCCGGGTCGCCTCCAAACCCTGATACGGCCGTCATTGTGATGCAAAGAGAACCGGGACTCGTAGCTGAAGAGAACGTTTGCCCACTGTTGACATGTCCATCTTACTTGGCGTCGCCAAAAGGCAAGACGAGCAGCCCTATGTGCTGGGGTGAGACGCTGGCGGACTGCTGGTCGACGTGCATTAAGTCCAAAATCGTGAAGACGTCTTCGTACTGTCTGACAACTAATGTTAACACGAGTTGCCGCTCTCAGCCGTGTCCGGATGCGATTTTCCGGAGAGGATCTCGATTGCGGAGCCTGTTTATGAATGAATCGGTCTTCCCTTGCATTAGTGGCTCTTGGTCGACCTGATCTGGGTCGCTCTTGGGCACTACCAGTGGCGTTGGCACGCTGAATCAGCCGTGAAATGACAGAAACGGACACTCGAAGACGTGTAGCAACTTGTCGGAGTGAAACAACATCTTGTACCTAAGCAATGGCTCGTCCTCTGTTTACATCAGACAATTTCTGTCGAGGAGGCATGTTTATGCTTAGCCGTACAGCAGCAGAATGGTGTATCCACAGTGCAAATGAGCGAGTACAAGTCACTCACGAGACATGAATCTTGTAATTGAAAACTGATTTTTGGGCGTTCATATTTTTTTCTGACGGTAAGAGCTAGAGAATAAAAATCGATAATTGGAAAACATTGGACCTTTTTGCCCCCTCCCCAGCTCATCGCACAGGAGTCACGTGCACTTCAAACCCTGGTGTGTACAATCCCATTAGTCATAGAGTAACATTTCACCAATATCTAGTTTTTCGAGTAAAAGTAGAACCTCGAAAGAATGCATACAAATATATCACTCTTTTTACAGTACGTTCCTTAACTTTTGTTGACTAGTTTATATATATATATATATATATATATATATATATATATATATATATATATATATATATATATATATATATATATATATATATATATATATATATATAGATATAGATAGATAGATAGATAGATAGATAGATAGATAGATAGATAGATAGATAGGTAGATAGATAGCATTAGTATAGCGCAAATTTCCGCTCAACAGCGGGCCAGAGGAAGGGTTGTGCAATCACACGATCGCTTGGTGGGAGAGGTGAGGAAGGGCTGCATAGCTCGCAGATATGTGAAGGGAGGTAATCGATCTATTGTTTTTCATCTAAAGTAGCAATATTTGTTGCTTTCCTTGGTTCTCTGACACGACCGATGTCATAACACTGTTCATGAATCCCTCAAACGACGGATCCCTCGAACTTCCGAGGCCGGTCTCTACGAATTCGAGCTATCCGTGTTATACTGTAGATATAATACGATTAAAATGTTAAAATAGGAAGATGCAAACAGCAGGATAGTCGATAGTTGGAACAACTTCCTTTTCTTCTTTTTCTTTTTTTTGGCTGATCATTTTTTGCACATCCTCCTATAACCTCCCCCCCCCCCAACAACCCCCCCCCCCCCCCCAAAGCAACAACAACAAAACGAACCAAGGCAGTGTTACTGACTGAAGTGTCTTTAGGCCATTTCCAAAGGGGGGATATTGACATGTTCTCGTAGCCAATAGATCACTGTTATATCCCAGTTTGAACTCTGTTATAGCTAGGTTCATATTACTTACATTTATAGAGAAAAAAACAACAACAAAACAACAACAACCGTGTATTTGATTTATCCCTGTAATATCCAAGTTCCTGTAATAACAGAGTGTAATAACAGAGACTGTCATAGAATGGACTGAACTGTATTTTCTATACATACATCTCAGCAGCTCCCACCGTCCTTCTGCTTGTGGCTTTAGCTGCTCTACATTTCTGGAGAGACTCGGGGGAAGACCAAGCGTTTAGCGGCGTGCCGCCCCAGTCTGAGGCGATCAGACCAACAGGAACCCCCGTGGCCCTGTGCACTTGCTTGCCAAACACCCAGCACACAGCAGAGAAATAGTCCCAGGCCCAGCGACCCATGGCGCCTGTACATGGACATTTAAATAAACAGGAAAAAAACCCAACCTCCATCTAAGTGAGCAGTTAGGGCCAAGAGTAACTCACACAAACCCCCCCCCCCCCCAAATCCCAAAACATGCAATGAGCAGTTGAGGCTGAATGCAACTTGAAAAAAGTATCATGTGGACAGAAAGAAACGTTTCAAAGAAAAAAATCATTTTGTTCAGACTTAAAATGTAGAGGTTTTTTTGGTGCAATCATAAAAGCAAGACTTAGTGGAAATTTAGGAACAAAATAAAGAAAGCATTTATCAAAGTTGCCCACTTCATCTTATGAGAGCAGAAATGTAAGAAATAAAGGATAATTCTAATGATGACCATATTGATGATGATGGTGATGATGATGATGATGATGATGATGATGATGATGATGATGATGATGATGATGAGGAGGAGGAGGAGGAGGAGGAGGAGGAGGATGAGGAGGACGTTGATGATGTTGATGATGATAGTTATGATGGTTGTAAACGGAAATCTTATGGAGAGCTTAAAAATGTTTGTTGGCTTCAGTTTTTTTGTCATGTAAACACAATGAAGGTAGAATTTCCCCATAAACAGCTCAAGACAAAAAAGTGTGGCTTCATAGTAAAATGAGACACTTGCCAAAAAATGAAATTGAAGAAAAAGGAATTTTTACGCCTGCTGGGCAATTTTCATCGGATTTATTATTTTTAAAAAGTTTTAGGCTGAACACCTTTTGTGCCTATCTAAAAAGACATTCCTGCTTGGATTTTTACTGAAAAACGATAATCAAAGGCTCAACAAAATCTAAAAGTTAATTTGTAATTTCGAAAGACACTTCAGCTGAGGAAGTCAACAAACGTTGGCGTTTCTTTCTCTCTAATTTTACCTCTGGCCTACGTCACAACTCACCAATGACAACTTTTTGTGGCAAAACTTTTTACAAGCAATTAATTTTATAGTGAATACATTTTTGGCACTAAAAGTTCTCAAGAAATGCGTTCAATAAGCACAATGTCCCGATTAGAAAAACCTGACGGACTTGTAATTAAAAGCAAAATTGCCCGTTGTCAACATTCAAAAATCGGTAGAAAGTACTCACTTGGATTTTTAAATGAGTATTTATTAAGGTATTTTCTAGAATACAGTTAGCAGGTGTTTACAAAAATGTTGATTTGTTAAGACAAATTGATGCAAATCATTGTGCAAAAATTGCAGAACCTATGTTCGATAGATGAGGAGATATTTGACTATAAGTTGCGCTACGAATTTTTGACCGCACTATAGCTGTCTGCCACCTGATATAGTACTATAATGTACAACACCCTCCCCCCAAACAAATCAAAACAAAAATCCAAAACTAAAAGCAACAAGCTATTACACTCAAACAAATTTTTTCCAGAACTTTTAAAGGAACAAACCACTGTTTGGAGCTATTACACTCAAACATTTTTTTTCTAGAACTTGTCAAGGAACACACCACTGTTTGGAGACGTCCAGGCTTGATCAATCGCTACCAGATCGTCCAAGGGGAAAGTGGAGTTTCTCATCGACACAGTCATCAGGCGGATGTTCGGGTAATTGTGAGCGTCTGCCGTCTGCGCTGCCGCATCAGACATCTGCAAATAATATGTGTCACAACGTGGTGGAATCAGCCGCTCGTCAATTTGTGTACGTGTGGAATTACTGATATGATTTTAAAGCTTGTTTATAATTTGTCTTGCTTTCGGTGAAAAAGTACTCATTTATCTTGAATAGAAGTCGAGATATTAATTGCAATTGAAGGAGGTGGGGTAGCGTGGTTTCAGGGGAAAAATTATTGAGAAAATTCGCAAAAAATTTGTAACTTCTTTAGCCTGAAAATCTTTGAAAACTGAAAATCTGCACGTTTTGTGCCATTAATCAACGTTTTTCCAGCAAAATACACATGGGAATGTATTTTTATATGGATATAAAATGTGCTGAGCCAAAATAAAAAATAAATAAATTGAAAAACAATTACCGAACTGGACGAAAAATGCCTGTTTCTTCGATTTCATCATTTTGACGAGCGCCTGATTTCACCACGATGCCTCACACATGATTTTGTTTGTTCGTCTGTTTGCATTAATAATAAATTTAACAATAATATATTGCATTTATACCGCCCACCGTCATATCATTAATGATATGCTCATTTCGCTTTATAATAAAATTGGTAAGGTACACACCATATAAATAATCGAGAAGAATAACGAGCGTCTACAACAAAAAATACACACAGCTCAACATGCTGCCTGGTAAATTGATAAAAAATCACTTTCAGTACTTTTACGATAAACATTAGAGAACAGTGCACTGACAATGTCATGAGAAAAAGCAAGGTGACTGCATTGATAAGAGTGCTATTTTTATTTCAGTCACTGTAAGGTTATTTCAAAAAGCAGAAACTAAATTTGATGCGTTTCTTCAAAGGGAAAGAACGAAAATGTGAGAAAGCCTTGAAAACTTCCTAAACAAAAAACGTTTAAGAATGCCCCTTTTGAAATTCAAATCCCAGTCATTCACTTTATAGCCCGTCATGATGCCAACTGAGCTAACAGCTTGCCCAAACACAAATCGCTTGCAGCAGAATTACCAAGTTCTATTTATTGCTCAGTACCTGCTTTTGAGAGATTTTGACATTAAGAATTTAGAGTTTCGCAACATATGGTTACATTTTTCTGAATGCAATTCTTTAAATACTTTGATAACGACTCAGAATAATTTAACGATTTTGACAATAAAGCAGATAGATTATTTGATTTCTGACCTCAGATAGAAATTTGTAATTCGAAGGTATCAAAATGGTTGACTTTAAAAATATGAAAATAGAAAACTATCATAGCCAGACACTTCTATCTCATGGATAAAACTAGGCACTCACATGAGAAGGTCCACCGTTTTTGCAGTTAGCACAAAGAGTCACTTACATAAAAAAATATTTTAAAAAGATTAATTAAGACAATTCTGTTTTTTTTACTCATTCACCCGTCTTATGTACATGTTTTATAATTATACGTTTTTAAAGTAGTATTTTGCATGCTGAACACGAATATGGCCTTCTGTTTTGCCACAAATCAATAGTTATTGAGTTATTGAGAACTATATTACAGTAGGACCAATGGCGTAGTAATATTTGACTTGTTTTTTTTAACAACATGGGGGGAGGGCATGCCCCTCTGACCTAAAAAGAATGTGTGTGTGGGGGGGGGGGGGGGGGGGGTTGTCAAGGGGGCATGCCCCCCCCCCCCTCTGCATTTCACCATGATTTGATATTCTGGCTGTTAAGATTGATATTTACTCGTAAAGAATTGATTTGCAAGAGTTCTAGTGGCGATATGTGTGTTCGGCAGCAAAAATTATGGCAGTTTAGCCTTCAGATCAGTCCAACTGTGTGTGGGTGCATAAGTAAAAATTTACCCAATTCTGCTTACCATAAATACATTAAACTGCATGTTGGATTGGCCGCTGCAGATCCACACGTCACCAAAAATGACATTTTTCAGGTTCAAAGTGCCGCGGTCAGATACAACTTTGATGGTGACAGTGACGCCGGCTTTGAGTGGATCAAGAGTTATCTTCCATACACCGACGCCAGCTGTAGAGCCCGCTGTGACCACCGTCGTGTAGTCGTACTGCTTCGATGGGGTGTTCATCTGTAGGGAAGAAATTGTAAGTTTTTTTTTCTTTAGCAAACTCCTGTACAGGTTAGGTAAACCGATGACTCTAAAAATTTGTAAAAAATAATTTAAGTCTTCCTGACCTTTTCTTAGCTTTAAAAAATATTAAAATATTACGAGAATGACAAATCTTTTCGTTTTAGTAAGAGTTTTACGGCACTTGCAAAAACAGTAAGGCTATATAAGTGCCCAGGATTAAGTGTGTTTCCAGAGAGTAACTTACACGAAAAAAGGAAGAGGGATAAGGACGATAGATGTTTGACAGGAAAGAAGGAGCAAACCACACCAAAGCAACAGCCAACCACTCACTGACAAATCTTTGACAAACTTCGCAACAATCAACATAGAATTTTCTTTTTTTTTTAAATGAAGGAGAAAAAAAATAGTGTACATGGCTCATTTCATAAAAATGAAAAGCTTTGCTCTACCTGCTATAAATTTCTTTGTATAAAGAATTTTAAAAACTAACAACTAACACAAATTTAGAACAAAAAAAAAAAAAAAAGGTTTGCTCATTACTTGTGCGATGATTTTCTTTCCGATATCGGGAGAAAAGCCGTAGATGTTGGCCCTCTCTGGGGCTCTCTGTAACACCATGTTGTCCTGGAAGTGTTTGGCCAAGGCGAAAGTGACACCCGCGGCTCTCTGGGCGGGCTCATCTTGTTGGACAACAGACTCTGGGAACAACAGGGAAAAGTATAATGATAGATGGATTCAGTAAAAGCGAGATATACAGTATAACACGGGTATGTCGAACACAGGAGATTCGATATCACGCATCTGTCGAACTGTTTCTTCGGTCCCTTTTTTCCACCTTATTTATTTTTGTAAGATATCCCTCGAACTACCGACGAATTCGAGCTATCCGTGATGTAACACTGAACTGCACTAAATGTAAAAGTTTACGACATGTATTTGGTTACTCTTCTTTTAGATCATTACCACTTTACTTTTGCCAATAAATTATGTGGGGGGGGGGGGGGGGGGGGGGGGGAGGGGAACATATAATGCTTTTGTGAGAAAATGTGCACACATCAGCTGTCCAGATGCCCTTTGTTTTTAGTAAGGTTTTACTGCGCTCGCAACAGCATAAGGTCATATGAGCGCCAAGGGGTGGATGTCAACAGAGAAGTCAAAAAAGGGAATCAGGCTTACTCTGCTCACCTCTCTAGCCTCAACAGCACAAAGTCTGCTTCAACTATCAGGGTTCCTCATGTTTAAAGGGGGTAACTCTATGGGGTTCCTCGAAAATAGCAGTTCACAAGAGAGTGACAAACGTACAAAAGAATGACGATAGTAAGGATGAGGAAAGAAAAAGCAGCAGCCACCCCTTTGTTGTTCCGACACAGTATGAGCATGACATTGATACATCAGCCCATTTACAATTCTACCTTGCATAAGAACATGTAAATATACCCTCTTTGGGAATGGCATAAAGACACTTTAGTCAGTAGCACAAAGCACACACTGACTGCACTTGGCCTACGAGACGTATTGTTATCGCTGGCAGCATTCCTGACCTAGACTTCAATACACTGCCGACAATCAGAGACAGAGCCGCTACAATTTTAAACTAAGGAAATCTGGCTCTCTCCGGGAGAAGGGGTCCCGGCCTAACTAGATAGAATTTTTATACATTATATACACAATTGGAAACAAAAATGGTGGTCGCGTAAAACGGGGGACGCACCCCTGCTAAATTCACAAAACTAATGGTTTGTGACAGTTTTTAGTGCCCAAATTGTTCCCAGCACACTAAGGGTTTGGACCTTTTCTATAAATTTACCTGTAACCTTTTCACCATGGCAACTCAGTCAGCTTTTTTTCTCGACTTCCGTTTTTGGTTCCGATTTTGTGAATAAATTTCTATGGAGTTAGGCCCGGACTACTTCTCCCGAAGAGTGCCGAAAAAACCCAAATCAGAGAGCCTGTCCAACCCAAAAGCATCGATCGTCCCTTTAGACATAGAGCTCTAGGCCTACCTTTCGTCTGTGTTCCTTCAGCAGTTGTTTGAAGAACATTTCGGCAACGTCCTGAGCCGATTAGGCCCAATATAAGGACAAGAAAATGCAAACACAGTCTTCTCATTTTTTTTTGACGGAGTTGAACTCTTCTGTCAGTCTGTGGTCAACAGGTGGGAAGCAATTTATTTGGCAATCTTCCGTGAACTATATCACGTGATACACGTTATGTGATCCAACAGGAGCGCTGTCATTCATAGAATGATTTCTACTGCCAGAGGTAGCCAAGAGGAAGGAAGGCGGAGAGAAAGAGAGAGAGAGGGGGGGAGTAGAAAAAGAGAGAAAGAGAGAGAGAGAGAGAGAGAGAGAGAGAGAGAGAGGGGGGAGAGAAAGAAAGAAAGAAAAAAAAAAAAGAGAGAGAGAGAG